AATAATATTCTCTGGAATGTTGACTTTAATACTACAAAGTTATAGTCCTATGGCTCCACTTTAACTGCTGTGGCCACATACTAAGGAATACTGGGCTTTGTAGTTTAAAGAAGCACTAGTGCTCTCTGACTGAGAATTCTAAATGCTCCTCCCTAAACTACAAATCACCAGATTCCACAGTACAGCAGGCCCTTGATATCGGATGAGTTTTGGTACAAGAACTCACTGTAAAGTGATACCAAAGTTTGTGGGTTCCCAAGTCCCATTATACACAAAAGTAAAATGGTATCCCTTAAATAAAATGGCAAAATCAAGATTTGTTCTCTGATTTTTTAAAAATATTGTCAAGTCTTAGATGGTAAAATCCATACATGCAGAACCTGTAGATATAGAAGGCCTGCTGTACTAGTATCAGAAACATTGCCCATTATGGTAATGTACCATAAACAAAGCTTGAGCAGATGCAACTGTTAGCAGGGAAGGAGAAAATAAAAAAAAATTACCCATCAATAATTTTAAATTTTAAAAATATCTGGATTCCTTCCTGGAAATAAGTCACCAGTGTTGTGCGATACCCCAGCAACCAGACATTTCTTCGCAAGGATATATGTTAAAAATGTTACAAATGGATACATGAATGTATTTTTGAGCTCAACTCTGTGATTCGTTTTTCTGCATTTGTTTAGCGTCTAGTTTATGGAAACTTTCTTTTAAAATGTATTGCTAAATAACTCTTTTGTCACATTTATTATGTCTCCATAAGAAGCATTCCAAATGCTAGCAGTCGATATAGATTATATGAACTTCCATGTGCATGTGCTTGGCATAATTCATATCTCTATTGTCTTAAGGACGTAACTTCAAAGATTCCTGAAAACGTGGAGTGGAGCAGAAGGCACTCTGAACTGGTGGCTCATAGTTTTAAATCATACTTTTAAATATATATATCTTTTAAGAATTAGATTAATAGCTGTATGGAGTACAAATCACCTGAAACTCTTTCATACAGATTATTTTGACATAATTGGGGCTTGTGTTTTCAGACCACTTCCATCTTTTAGTGCAAATCCCATTAAGATCAATGAGCAACCCATTCACATCAATGGTACAGGGAACAAATAAAGCTGTCCCTTGCATATTCATATAATATTCCTTTACTAGGGAGTTGAAATTATTCAAACTAATGCTGTAGTTCAAGCCAAAGGAATTGTGCCAAAATCATTATTAGAGGGGAGTGGAGATGTCTCAGTTAATATTTTTACACTAGGTATGAGCAACTGTATTTCTCCTGTTGTTCTTGGCCTATGGCTCCCTTCAACCATAGATAATGTTGACAAAGGTGAAAGACAGGAGACACAGTCAAAAAACATCTTGAGGACCAATTACCCAGTATTATTTTCCACTACAGGTACTTGTAAATAGGACAGCTCTTAACACCACCAGTCTTAAAAGACACTTTAAAGCTATTCCTCCTTTTTCTCCTTAATGGATTCTCACTGTTCAGCAGGTTCTAGGAAAGGTGTGTTGGGCTGGGGAAATTAAAGAAACAGTGAGGACATATAAACAGATCACACGTGGGAAGGTGGTCTCTTGAACATACAGAGATATGAATGGGACAGTTGTCCAAATGAGGCAAGATGGTTGTTCAATAAAAGCCTCCTCTAGAAGTATCCTACCATGGCCACATTGACTAGAGATAATGGGAGTCATGGTCAAACACATCTGGAGGGCACTAGACTGGAGAAGTCTGCGCTAATGGGATCTTTAATAGGTGAGGTAGGGACAACAACCAATTTACTTTAGGTATACTGTAAAATGCTCTCCTGGAAAGAAAAACAACAATACAGCTGACCCCAACCCACAAGCAACATAAGCCGCTCCATTTCAGTAGACCCCTTCTGTGATTGCTATAACATGTGGCAATAGATGTGCATTCATTAACTTCATTATACTTTCAACAAGGTGTAATTGACATAGACAACTATATGAAGGCCTTAAAAAACAAAATAGACAGATACACATAGATGTGGACTTAGTTTGCATCACATTTTTGTGCCAGAATATTTAAATATTTTCAAATTGCATTATACCACACAGTTGATTTGATTCACAGGACATGTGCTTGATCCTTCTATTTCTATATCGAAGGATATTTTAACCTTTCCCCTCCCACTTTAAACACAGTTGTCCCTACTTAAACTATTCTGAAGTCAATGCATCCCCTCCAGTGTGGCTTACTCTTGAGATAACACATTGGCGTCTGAGTAGTTTGAGAGCTATGCATCCAGAGACAAATACGTAAACTTTGCAACCTCCAGGGGTAAGTGCAGGTGGATACATTTTGCTTTACACAATGTCTCAAAAGATGGATGTGTCAATCAAACAGAAACTCTGAAGCGGACAGCTCTAGCTAGCCCAACTATTTGAATTTCCTAACAATGCACAATTGATAAATTTGCCTGATCTGTGTTTACCCTTCCAGTGGTTATGGGAGATTTCAGCAGTACAGATACTGTTTCCTTCAACTTCTCAAAGACATATCTGAACATAATCCATCAGTAGCATCCTTGTGCCTAAAGTAACTGAGCAATTTGCAATAGAGGTTCTCTTTTGATCATAAAATGATCATAAAAGGTGAAAGATTTATACGATCTGAAGAGAAACCAGAGTATGATCAGGGTCAGCATTAAGTAAATTTATCCAGCTCTATTAATTTCCTATACATCATCCTCAAAATGGTCTGGAAGTTTACTTCTCTCACTCCTAAAATTGATCATGGGTACATCTAAGGCCTCATTTGAAAAGGACAGCATGCTTCCCCCTTTTCTATGCAATGCCTAATCTCATCCAATGTCTGGTCTGAAGCTAATCCATTTGAGGCCCCTTCCACACAGCTGAATAAAATCCCACATTATCTGCTTTGAATTGGAATATATGGCAGTGTGATCTCAAGGCCGTTCCACACAGCCCATTATCCCAGGATATCAAGGCAGAAAATCCCACAATATCTGCTTTGAACTGGGTTATCTGAGTCTACACTCAGATTATGTGGGATTTTCTGCCTTGATATTCTGGGATACAGGGATGTATGGAAGGGCCCCCAGTTCAAAACAGATATTGTGGGATGTTCTGCCTTGTTATTCTGGGTTATATGGCTGTGTGGAAGGGCCCTAAATGCTACTTGAGGGTTATGTGCCCTCAAGTCCAGTCAGACCTAAAGCAATACTACCCTAGGGATTTGTTACCATGCTCTCACAAAAGCAGAGAGAGTGTGTCTTCAGGCCCTTCCACACAGCCCTATATCCCAGAACATCAAGTCAGGAAATCATACATTATCTGAATGTGACTTTGATAACCCATTTCAAAGCAGATATTGTGGGATTTTCTGCCTTGATATTCTGGGATATAGGGCTGTGTGGAAGGGCCCTTCTCTAAAGTCACCCAGTGGATTCAAACTAGATTTGAAGGTCTTGAAACAGACCGTCCCAAGGCCCTTCCATACAGCCATATAATCCAGAATACCAAGGCAGAAAATCCACATTATATTGAATGTAATGTTTTTAAACCATTTAAATGCTTAATATGGATTAATTTAAATTTAATTTTAATGTTACTAGAAATGTATGTGTTTTAAGGCATCAAATAATTGCCTATATGTAAGCTGCCTTGAGTCCCCTTCAGGGTAGGGAAAGGCGAGGTATAAATAAATAAATATCTGCTTTGAACTAGATTATATGAGTGTACACTGCCATATAATCCAGTTGAAAGCAGATAATCTGGATTTTATATGGCAGTATAGAAGGGGCCTAATCATGCCACTAGGAGGACAGGTTGGGCCATGTATTTTTCTAACAACTCCCTGTTGCCATATGTGAAGGGCCAGAATTTCATTCCCCATCCCTGACTTCCCAAGGTGGGATTCTTGAATTCAGATGGGATCTCTACAAGTGTTTGCTTGCGACAGGTTTGTCTATGCTGTAGAATTAATGCAGTTTGACACCACTTTGACCACCATGGCTCATTGCTATGGAATCACAGAATTTGTAATTTGTTGAGGCACCAAAACTCTAGAGCAGTGAAGGTTGAAGTCCTTGTAAAACTACAGCTTCCAGGGTTCCATCACAATAAGTTAAAGTGGAGTCAAACTGCATTGATTCTATAGTGTGGATGAGGCATGGGCCAACTTAGACCCTTCAGGTGTTTTGGACTTCAACTCCCACAATTCCTAACAGCCTCAGGCCCTTTCCTTTTCCCCCTCAGCCGCTTCCCCCTCAGCCGCTTAAGGAATTGTGGGAGTTGAAGTCCAAAACACCTGAAGGGTCTAAGTTGGCCCATGCCTGGTGTAGATACAATCTAAAACACACTTGTGAAGAGAAACCAGACTCTGAATCCACTTTAAATCCGGTTTCTGTCTCCTGCAAAGTTCTGGGGTTTGTAGTTTAGGGAGGAGCTTTTAACAGCCTCCCTAAACTACAAACCCCAGAATTCTGTAGGAGGCAAAAACCGAATTTAAAGTGGATCCATTCTCTAGTGTGAGAAAGTAGTTGTGGAAGCTGGTAGCCACCCATTTCACCTCCCCAAAATGTAACTTCTTCTCTGATCTGATTCAGTTCCTCAGCTCCCTTTCAGAGTTCGTACTTCTTACTCCAACATCCATAAGCAAGAAACTTAAAATCAAAACAAGACAAGATGAGGTTTCTTTCTCTCTCTTTCTCTCTGTATTTTGCTTTACAATGCATAGGATGGGTTTTGTTGTGGTCAGGGTCGTGCAGATACCCTGTTGGTGACTTCCAGGTCTGCAAACCCCAGATCCCACACTCTCCCCGCCTTTGACAAGGGGGGCAAATCCTAACTCAGCCCCTGGCCTCCAGACTCAGAGACCCCGGGGATGAGGAAGTAAGGAAGCAACTCTGAGAAGGAATGGAGGTCCCGGAGCGACCACAACAGCACAGCACGAACGACAAGAAACAGGACAGTCAGGCTTCCAAAGGACGTCCTACCTTCCCGGGCGGCTTGCTTTGTGCGGAAGAGGAGTTGTAGTTCGCAAAGAGGGAGCAAGGAGAAGGCGAGGGAGAGAGAGAGGCGGAGGAAGAAGGACTATGGTGTCAAAGGAGTCTTGCGGGATTCCCTAAAAGGGAAAGATGGTCCACTCTTAAAGCAATGGAGCAGGCGAAGTGCAGGTCCCATGAGTCTGAGTGGGAAAGGAAAGCCCGCAAAGCCACCTCGGTGATAAGAGCAGGAGATGCGGAGCAAGGTTCGCGATGAAGGAGTTGCTGAGAGGCGACGGAGTCAGAAACCCCTTCCCTTCCTCCCTCCTTCCTAGGCCTTCTCTCCTCCTCGCCCCGCTTCCTCCGCCCTGCCCTGGCCTCCCCTACAAGGGGCAGTGTGAGTGAGTGAGTGAGTGTCCCCTCTCCCGCTCCACCTCTTCCACCTCCTCTTTCTTCTCCTCCATCTCCTTCTCTCCCGCCCGGTGTCACTGCCTGCAAAACTTGCACTTGACGATCTTCTTAAAAGCACTTTGGAAATCTTTGTTGAAGTAGGCGTAGATGACGGGGTTGAGGAGGGAGTTGGAGTAGCCCAGCCAGTTGATGACGGCGCCCAGCCAGTCCGGCATGTAGCACTCCGTGCAGAGGGGCAGCACCAAGGCCACGATGAAGAAGGGCAGCCAGCAGAGGATGAAGGTGCCCATGATGATGCCCAGCGTCTTGACCGTCTTGCGCTCGCGGGCCAGGGCCACCTTGCGCTTGGCCTCCGCCGTGCGCGGCTCCTGGTTCTTGCGCTCCGAGGCCGGAGTGGGCTGGGGCGGGGGCTGCGGGTCCGGCAAGGGCAGGAGACCCTTCCCCGAGCGGGACGGGGGGTTCGCCTCCAGGGAAGCCGGGCTGCCGTTGACGCAGGCCACGCTGCCGAGTCCCCCGACGGCGGGCGGCTCCTGAGCCCTGTTGGGCCCCCCGTTGCTGCTGCTGCCGCTGTTGTCCCGCTTGGGCGAAAGGGAGAGGCAGGTGTCGGCCACCGGGGCGGCCTCCTTCTTCCTCTTGTCGGCCTTCTTGACGCTCTTGCGGATGCGGAAGCGCGCCGCCTTGAAGATGCGCCCGTAGAGGACCAGCATGAGGAGCAGCGGGATGTAGAAGGCGCCGAAGGTGGAGTAGATGGTGTAGCCGGGGTCCTTGCTGATGGTGCAGGCGTCCGGGTCGGAGCGGTCCTGCGGTGTCCGCCAGCCCAGCATGGGCGGGATGGAGACCAGGAAGCCCACCAGCCAGGTCAGGCTGATCAGGAGCGCGGCCCGGCGCGGCGTGCGCTTGTTGACGTAGTCGATGGGGTCGGTGATGGCCCAGTAGCGGTCCAGGGCGATGGCGCAGAGGTGCAGGATGGACGAGGTGCAGCACAGCACGTCCAGCGAGATGAAGATGTCGCAGGTCACCTGGCCCAGCGTCCACTTGCCCAGCACCTGGTACAGCGCGGCCATGGGCAGCACCAGCACCGACACCGTCAGGTCCGTCACGGCCAGCGAGCCGATCAGGTAGTTGGCCACCGTCTGCAGGGAGCGCTCCAGGGCGATGGCGGCCACCACGCAGGCGTTGCCCAGCACCGCGAACAAGATCAGCGCCCCCAGCGCCAGAGAAGTGCCCAGCTGGTAGCCCAGGCTGGCCGTCGGTGGGGCCGCCGCCGTCCAGTTGCCCGCCTGGCTGCCGTTGGCCGTGCTGTTGGGAGGCTCCATAGCCGAGGGAGAGCCCGAGGTGGGAAGGCGGGAAGGGCTTCACTCCGGCGGCGAGGGGCAGCGCTTCCTAGGGGTCTTCATGGCCCCCGACGGCAAAGGAGGCAGGGGCAGGATAAGGACGAAGCAGAGAGGCCCTCAGCGGTGCTCTTCTCGGTCTCTCCTTCGGACCAGTCCCGGTCCCAAGGAGCCGGTGGCATCTCCTCCCAGGCTGGGCATCTCCTCTCCCTGGACGGCTTGCCCTCTCGCCCGCCACTTCTCCGCGAGTCCTGAGGTGCCCTCCGCGCCCCTCTTCCCCTTCCTCTTCCTCCGTCACCCACTTGCTGTCCTCTCTTCGCCTCTCTCTCTCCTCTCTTCCGCCCTCTCCAACTGCCCCTGGCTCCGTCCTGCCCCTCCTCTGCCCTTCCTCGTCCCTCTCTCCTCACTTTGCTGGGGTTTCTCCAGCGCCTCTGCCTCTCCTTCTTTCCTCACTTCCTCGGCCGTCAGTGCTCATTCCTTTGATCCCTCTTTCTCTCTCCTCTCTTCTTTCCTCTCCTTCCCTGCTCCCTCCCTCCCTCCCGCTGCCCTCCTCCTCCTCCTCCTCCTCCTCTTCCTCTTCCTCCTGGCTTCTGCTCCCGTCTCCTCCAGCACGCGCCGTCTTCCCCTCTCTCCCTCCTTTTCCCCCTCCCACCTCTCCCCTTTTGTATCTCTCTGTCGCTCCCTCTGCCGTCCCCCCACCCGCTCCCCCCAATGCCACCGCCGCTGCTCTTTTCCTTTGCTCTGATTTCCTCTTTCTTCCCCGCCACTCCTTCGCTCGGCTTATTTGCGCCTCTCTTTGCGCCTTCCCTCCTCCGTCCCTTTCCTCCTCTTCTCCTTTTGCCTCTTTCTCAGGGACCGTCCACACAGCCCTTTATCCCAGAATATCAAGGCACAATATCTGCTTTGAACTGGGTTATCTGAGTCCACACTGCCATATATTCCAATTCAAAGCAGATAATGTGGAGTTTTATTCAGATATGTGGAAGGGGTCTCACTTCCCTGTTCTTTTTTAAATAGCGCCCCTTTCTCCTGCCTTACAACATTTCGGGTGTTCCCCCCGCTTTCACTCCTTCTCTTTTGTCCTAACTTGCCCTTCTCTCTCTCTCTCTCTCTCTCTCTTTCACTTTTCTTCTTCCCACAAGGTACACACCTGAGCGGTGTTTTCTCTCTGGGGAGCGGGGAGGGGGGGGATCGCCGGCGGGAATGCCTCCTTTTCTTCAATGAGATCCGGAGCGCTGCTCCCGATTCAAGAGAAACGCCGCACCCGTCACTCCTCGCTCTCCCCTCGACATACACGCACAGCTGAGTCCTGACGATGAAGGACACGGAACCCCCAATACGTCAGCTCTCCTCCCCTCCCCCAGCTCCCAGTCCTAGCGCCGTACACAGAGACCAAGTTGGCTCGCGTTCTTCGTTTCCTGCTTGTCCTGCTATGCCAACGAGGAGAGATCGCAGCAAAAGTTAATTTGAGGGTGATTTGGAGGGAGGAGAGATCTCCCCGCGACCACTTTGCTGCACACTAGGGCACTGCTTGGCAAAGCTTCGCGCCTGCCCTGCTTGGTAAGATGAATGTATTGGCTATAGCTTACAACATTGGAGGAAACGGGGGAAGCTAAACCTTAGCGGGAGGGAGGCACCGAGGACCCATGTACCTGCCTCCGGAGGGGAGAGGGAGGACAAGGACTCGATGTTTCTCCGTCCCCTGTTTCAATGGACCTTCCAGCAGTGCGGGGAAAATGTGTGTGTGTGGAGTCACTCTGCCAATCTGAGACTGCAGGGAACTTGGAAAAGGGATCCCTTCCAGCCTTCCTTGACCCTGGCTGGCCAAGCAGGGAGCCCAGGAGGTTCTGTTCCTTCGCGTCCCTCGCTTTGCCCCTCTTTTCCCCATCGGCGTTGTGATGCTCTGAACTAGCTTGACTTCCAAGCCCTAGAGCCGCTTCAGCACCGTGGATAGCGCCGCTGCAGTGCCGCGGGCAGCGCTGGGTTTCAGCACCATGGACAGCGCCACAGCTGCTATATGGGACAGGGCTAGGCTTCAGCACCATGGACAGCGCAGAGCTTCAAGGGCATTTGTCGCCACCTGCAGGTACGCGGCTTGGCGCTGCCAGCGTTTCAAGGCAGGCAGCTCACACACCTGCGGGTGGAGACTCTCATTCTATTATTACACACCCCTCTGCCAGGTTTCTCTGACCTACACTTGCAGGCATTTGGAGTGTGAAAGAATGACGACAGGCTATTGTTCCCACGACAAATGTTCCAATTCTTTGAAACCTCCTTGCTAGCTGTGTTCAGCATACCTGCTGGAAAGGTTCCTTTAAGTTCCATATGGACTTTCACAGCACTGGCCTCATTAAAGGCAGAGCAGAAGAGGAGTGGTGTTGGTTGTGTGGAATGGGAATGGTATAGAGAGGAGGATGTTTGCCTGTCCAAACACATTTCCCTCTATGAACCACTGTGGAGACTAAGATCTTCTGAGGAGGCTTTGTTCTCGGTTCCACCACTGTCACAAGCACGATTGGCAGAGACAAGAGAGAGGGGGGCCTTCTCAGTGATTGCCCCCCAGCTATGGATCTCCCTCTCTGGTGAGATTAGATCAGCCCCCTCCCTTCTGTCCTTCGGAAAGATGGTAAAAACTTGGCTGTAGGACCAAGCCTTTGGGACAGGGCAATCCTAGGAAACCCACTCCACTGATTGGAGCTGATATGGTTGTTTTTGAGATGGTTTTAAATAATTGATTTTAAATTAGATATTACCGATTTTAGTGTTTTCGTATATTTATGGTAAATTTTATTGAACGTTTGCCATATATGTATATGCTGTGCTCCACCATGAGTCCCCTTCTGGGTAAGAAAGGCAGAATAAAAATGTTTTAAATAAATAAATAAGAGTGCACACTTCAGTCATGCACTTGTGAAAACCTTCACTACCTTTCTCTTCTCATGTTTGTACTTTTTTAACAAGCTTTGGCAGCCAGGGGAATCTACTAGAAGCTGAAAAGAGGCTCCAGTGTGGATGGGGCCTGGATGGTGCAGGTAGTGCTTCTTCCTTTTTTCTTGTTTTTTTCTTTTTTTGCTTTTATATATATATATTTTAAAGCGCAGCACTTTTTATTATTATTTTTAAATTCAACGTATACAGCAAAAAGAAAAAAGGGGAAAACAGAAAAGAAAGAAAGAGAAAGCGGCAGGAAAGGTGGAGTTATTGTTAGAAGGTTAACCCATGACAAATAATAAATATGTTGCAAAAGAAGAGGGAAGGGGTTAAAGAAAAAGGAAAAACCATTATCAGTGTTCAAAGTTTTCTTAATGTCCTTATTACATTGAAAAAAATAAGCATTTTTTATTTTTAATACATTTATTTCTTCATATAAATTACAAGGATTATATTGAACCACCAACAAGACCCTACACTTTGAAGGCAATCATACTCGGACATGAGTGATCACCAATGATGATGATGATAAAATACCAAAAAGTTCTATGTAAATAGGATGAGTGATTGTCACCAATAAGTCCACTACCGTAACTTCTTCCAATATTACCTCAGGATCTTCTGGTCTCTTTTTCCAGTTCCTCTTCATTAAGAGTTTGTCATTATTATTATTATTATTATTATTATTATTATTATTATTATTATATACAGCTTTATATTTGTTTATGTACAATTCAATAACTATTAAATTTGTCTCTAATAATTATATTTTATATGTATAAAATATTTATTTTAAATTCTTTATCTAATTTTAATAATTACATAGAAAGTCTAAAATTTTAATTTAATATTGAGTAGGGAAAAATTAATATATTAAGTATTTTTATTTCTTCCTTTTCCAACAGTACACAAAATGCATATATCTCTGTTTAAAAGGTATCCAAATTCTTGTAGGTGATGGAAGGAAAAGAAAAAAGAGAAAAAAGTGTGAGAGAAAAAAATAAGAAAAGCCTTTATCCAAAAAAACCCCAGTTGTAGTAATTTACTTCTGATTATGTATGAGCTCCTTGAAAGGTTTCAATTCTTCCTAAAATTTTGGGATGTTTACTTGTTATAGAGCCAATGTTAATTTGTCCATTTCAGCCATCTTGAAAACTTCTGTAATCCGGTCTTCTGATGTTGGTATATTTTGCTATTCCCATAATTTTGCATATTCAATTCTAACTGCTGCTGTCACATAAATAAGAAGTATTTCCTATTTTTTAGTACTTGTTTGTCTAACAATTCCCACTAAAAAAAATCTGGTTTCAGAGGGATTTTATAGTTTATATATCTCTATGTCCAGAATTTCTTTGTCCACCACAAGTAGAAAGTTCCAGTCGTTTGATTACACTTCCAACATAGGTTAGTCCTTTTATACGTCTTTCATAGCTTTTCTGGTGTTATATACCATCTGTGTATCATTTTATAGAATTTTTCTTTGACAGTATAGCTTCTTGTAAATTTAAGTCATTTTTTCCAGAGTTCTTCCTTCTAGTTTGATTGGTTGGCCCACATTTTTTATCCATTGGATCAACTGTAAATTATTTCAGAAGGAATTGGTATAATTTTCCTACCTGTTTGTCTTTTATCTGTAGTGTTCTGGAACGGCTGTTCCAGGGGCTCCAATTTTGTGTTTTGCACTGAGTGTTTGTTCATAGTTCTAAGTTGCAGGGACTTTGCAGATAGGTGGCTTTCTTTGGCTGCATTCATAGGGCAAGCCACCTGTCTATAATAGTTAGGTTCCCTGGTCCCGCCCCTTTTTGAGTTTTAGTGGGAACAGGAGACATTTTGAGTTCAGTTCTCACAGAGAAGCCTTTCGCACAGGACACAAAACAAAGTGGCTCCTGTAGAAAAGCTTCATCTTCTATAGCTTGGCCAGGGTTATATAGCCCTACAGCTTGGCCGGGAGGCATACAGCCACAGCTTGGCTGAGGGACTTCAGCCGGCCATCACAGCAACCTGAACTCCTTCTTTTTCCCTGGAGGTCTACAAAGCTCTGTTGGGGCAAGGGTCGCTCGCGGAAGCCAGACGCAGTTGGTACCGGGTGCAGGAGCTCCACATCAACAGAGGCAAGTACAGACTGCCCAGATTAGAAGTTAGGATTTCCCCATTCGTTAATTACAGTTAAGGAGACAGTGCCTGTTCCCAGTGAACAAGATTGCCAGAGCCAATAGACAATTAAGAAATCTTGAAAGTACCTGTTTGTTTTCATAAAGAACTTTGTTGGACTTACTTTAAGCCTCTACAGAACTTTGTTTGGGGGAATCTAAGGGCCTTTAATCTGAGGCAGCCTGGCGTCCCGTTGGGCACACGGAATTTATGTCCTGTCTACAGTCATATGCACAGGCCCAGCGTGTGACAGCACATGTAGTAAATATGTTCCAATGACTCTCAGATTCTTGTATACCTTTTTATTATCTAACCAGTATCCAGGGGCGGCTCGTCCATTACGCGAAGTAAGCGGTCGCAGAACACTTTTTTTGCCAGGGGCGCAGAGGCGCCTCTGTAAATGCCCCTCAACCACCACTTGAGGAGCGCCCCCTCAGCTCACAACAGCCCTAGCAGTCCAGGGGGAGCCTCRGCTTTCTTGCCTCGCTGCYGGGCAATCCTCTTCCCAAAGGGRCYGGGCCCTTGAGYCTCRCCTAGCCCCTCTYGTTCCTGCTCCACCCRGCCACYGGGTGYGYGAGCAGAGCCGGCRCTCAATCRTTCTCYGCGTTYGATCCYTTCCYCATGACYGGCTCCCTTTYCYGATCCCCCRGYGCTCCACCHGCCTCCTCTCYTCTCCCCAATCYGYRGGTGRGCSARGGGGYGVAGCCGCTTGGCCCACCCGTACCTGGCYGCRYCTGGCCYDCTTYRGRTCYRGAGGYRTGTCTGAAGACCCCAGYRTGYRCACCAAAAGTCRCCTCTTCTCCTGACTTTCTCTTCAGCCATTGGGACCAAGAGAGAGAGAGAGAGAGYCCCTCYGGCTGGAGRTRTCTCCCACCTCSGCTCCCTCCTTTGTTTTWGCGCCTACCTTCARGAAAGGTGGGCATCTCCACCTCTCTCTCTCTCGATCTCTCTCACTTGGTCYCAATGGCTGAGGAGAAAGTCAGGAKAAGAGGTKACTTTTGGTGCATATGCCGAGGTCTTCAGGCAYGCCTCCRGAYCCAAAGCAGGCCAGGCAAGGGAGCAAGTGCGGCAAGTGTAGTTACTGGGATGTATAGTTCACCTACAACCAAAGAGCATTCTGAACTCCACCAATAATGGAATTGAACCAAATATGGTACACAGAACTCCCACAATGAACAGAAAATATATATCAATGATTGGTTGGGGGGGGGCGCCAAAATACTGTTTGCTTACTGTTGAAAATTACCTAGGGCCGCCTCTGCCAGTATCTTTGCTGTTGTTGGTAATGTCAGGGATTTCTGTTTGCTAAACAGAATCCTGGAAGCTTCCCCTGCAGACACCAGACAGAATCTAAGCTCCCCTCTT